CCCACGCTTTCAGTGAGATAGAGCCCACTTCTCTCCTTAAATTACTGCCATGTAGTTTCTCTACCCTTTGCTTTGTTTTGGAAAGGAGCCATTTTATTCATGTTCACTTCTCTTTAATGAGGTGCTTAGGAATTAAATGTAGTTCATAAATACAGGGTGATTTATTCCTGTGCTTTACTGGGAAAGAAGCTTAAGCTTACTTTTTAAAGAAAGCTTTCAAAAGTCCTGTTTTCAAGGATGCTTTGTGAAATAAGGTAAATGCGTTCTATGGTAAGACCAAAATGCATATTGTGAAAGTGTCTTCCTGTAATAATATAAACAGGACAATTAATTATGCTAGAATATTTCTTCCTTGTATTATGAGATAACTGAGACTGCATTTCCTAAATATAGAAAGACTATTTAGTGCTAAGTTGACTTCATGTGAATAATTAAAAGTGTCTGCATGTTTAGGACTAGGGCCCGCTAAGTGTTCTGTATTGCCGATTTTCACAGTACGGAAATCAGTGCATTGCTCTCCCAGTAACTGCCCATGTCACACCCCCAGCGGGCGTGGGGCATTTCTGCTGCATTCAGAGGGATGCAGAACTTGGGAAATGGTCAATACACCTCATTTTAAAGAGGTACCTCATTACATTAATCATTTCCCTACTGGAGTTGAAGTGGTTTACCCTGATTAGCTTAAAAAAAAAAATAAAAATATTAGCAGTGGCTGACACTGTTAATTATTTTTCTATTAAAGGAATATAAGTGAAGTAGCTAGACATTATCAAGCACTAGCTGCCTAACATTCATAAGAAGACCAAGAACCCTTCCTTTCTAACGTGTTTTAAAAGCACTCCCTTAAATGTGATCATGCAACTGTTCCTCATTAGAGAAAACTTCTACCTGATTAAATGCTCATCAACCTGTGAAAGCGTTGCCCAATCAGCTCTTTACCTAAAATAATTGTGAACACACATGAACCCCAGTAAAAGCTGAACAGGGAAAACTTTTCTTGAAGGTACCTCTGGGCAAAGCATCTCATTAGGGCTGCTGTCTTTTGTCTTGTGACAGGAGAGAAGGTTTGTGCAGAGGCTGCCTTATGTTAGTGTGTTGGTCAGTTCAAAAGGTACATGGCTGCCAAAACAGTCCTGGTGTAAACCTTCTCTGTATGTTACGGGTGGTCGGTTGGGGTGAGGGGGGTCAGAGGCAGAGGCTCTGTGCAGGTGCTCCTGGAGGGGCCCGTACCTCCAGGCTGTATTTAGGGAACCCAGGGTGGGTTCTGCATCCTCCGTAGGGTCAGCGTAGAAGTTTTTGCAGCCAAATGGAGGGAATCCCCTCTGGAAGTCAAATCCCTACATACTTCCTGCCAGGAGCTCTTAACTCAAGAAGCAAGTTCTGGTTCCAGGCAAACCTCAGATGATGACATCTTCCAAGGAAGAGCATTTACAATACGGATTTGGTCCCCTGAGTTTTGAATATGTGATCGTTTCCTTGGGAGTTCTCCTCTGATTAGCAGCTATTCCCTGCGTCCTCAGTGTGCCATTGCTGCAGCGAAGTTCCTCTGATTCCACACCTATTAATTAGATCTTTAAATGTACAATTTTGGGAATATGAATAATTTTGAAGATGATAAGGAAGTTAATGCAGTGCTCCTGCCTTGCTTGTGACCTTACCAAATATACCAAAAGACACCTACTGTAAATGACGTTTTATCTTTTAAGTGTGTTCAATTGATTGTAAAAACACATTGCTCGTCTTGAAAGAAAGCAAGCAAATGGAAGCCACTGTTAAAAAGTGAACATTTATCTTTTGATTGTTTGAGAGTTCCTGGTTTCTATTTATTTTTTATTCTAAACATTGGAAAAGATGAATGTATTTCCAATATTGCATGACAGAAGAATGAAGAATGTGTTGTGTGGACTTTTATAGGAGAGACTGCTGTACCAAAAAAATTTATTGTTTTCACCTATTTATATCTCGGTATATATTTATATATTTGCTGTGGTTTGAACTCTGCAGGCAGACAAACACCACACAATATTGATACATATATAAATACTTATATATTGTTTATAGAAGAATAAGTATCTTTTAGAAAACTTTTTTGTCCTCTGCAGTCATTTAGTCATTCTTTGAGCCACTTTGAGCTGAAAATATACTGCAGTTTGATTAGTGCTCGTTTCCCATGAGGATTTTCTCCACATCGTCTTCTGTTTCCACCAGCCATTTCTAAGAGCTCTAACCCAATTGACAGCTACATGAGTTATTCACACACCATTAATCTCAGACCGCAATAGAGGTTTCAGTGGTGAAACAGTAATTTAGAACAGTAAGTTACATACTGACTAAAGTGAAACATGGTGTTAAAAACTTGAAATCTGGCTGCATATAGTAAATCTACACTAATATTTCTGTAAGACACTTTGCAACTGCTCTAAATCCAGCTGGTTATGCTTTTATTTCCATTTCATTGTTCGTCTGGAACATGAGGGATAGAGAGAATGAAAAAAGCTACGAGGTGTATGCATGAGAGCCATTCCTGCTAGCAAACGCACTGCTGAATGAATGCACTCAGTAGGAGCCATTCTGTTCTGCAGATGAAGTCCATTATTTTAAAAGAATCCACTGCCAAGTGATCCAAAGGGGCACTTCCCTTGGTTATATAAAAGCAATGTTTCATGTTTCTTCTTGAGTTTTATTTATTGAATTTTGTAAAGTGCCATTTCCGCAGGACTTCAGGCGCGTGTTCGTAAAGCCTGACACAGGTTTAAGGTGTGCACCTCAAACGTCATTGCAGCTCTGTTTTTCAGATGAGAACGAAACAATTCCAGCCTCTAGAAATAGCCTCAGTGCTTCAGCTCTTACAGCATCCTCAGCCCTTTTTCATTGCTTTAGCCAAACTATTGATTTTCCATAAAGGAAGTCTTCAGCCAGTACTTTGGCGTATGGCTAAGTATTTCAGAACTGGGCTGATGAGCATGGAGTGGCTCACGTGGAGCCTCCTATGTTTAAATGGGGTTCAGTGCTAACAGGTGATGGCTGACTTTGGGTGGTGTTTTGATAGAGTTTGTGACACAAGTTAGTGATCTCTGTCTACTCCAGAACCAACAGCTGCCTTTAATAAATTACACAAACAGCCTAGTGTGCAATAACCCTTGCAGTCTCATTAGGTGTGCTGGAGGGGTTTTGCTGTTGCAGGGTTTAAATCATGTAAGTGCTCCTGTTGAGCTGTATTGTCAAACAAGGTGAGTGGAGATGTCCGTTCCTTATGGCCAGGCTCTGCTCTTGACCTCTTTACAGAAGCCCAGAATTTCTGTGTTCATATAACTGGGCAGTAATTAAAAATCAGTAAATTCACTAGTTCTAGTAAAAGGCATGGAGTTCTACTTATTAGTATCTACTTTGGACTTGATGATCTTAGAGGTTTTTTCCAACCTAATGGTTCTATTAGTTCTACTGATTCTAGTAAAAGGCATGAAGGGCTGACCCCAAAGACAGTAGTTATCTTTTATGGTACCTGCCTCTTCTCCAGCTTTGGTTACGATACACTTCTCTGTGTGGCTCTGCCCCAGCTTCTGTAAAGGTGTGTACGGAGGAGATCTCCTTCTGTCTTCCCATAACTGGGGATAGTATTGCAGTCCAAAGACCAAATTTGTGTTTTTGAAGTGTTTTAGGTGAAATCAACTGTGTTTCTTCTGTTGTTTGCTAATGTCAGCGATGCGTGTCTCTGTTTGCTTTTATCGTTTCATAGGGTGGACAGTGTGGAGATGGATTGCAAGTCCGCAACCTCACATGTGTAGTGCACGATGCATCTGCTTCTGCTACATCCAAACCAGTAGAAAATGCATTATGTGGTGAGCTGCCATCGAAAGAAAGTGTGCTCCAGTTACCATGCTCTGTGCCTTGCCCAGGTAAAGTCTTTAAAAAGCCATGGTGCATTTCTGCCTGTGATAGCTGTCTGAGATGGAGATGCTTCCATAGCTCTGAGTACTGTCAGCCATCATAGTAAAAAATTCTACTTCAGCAGATCAGGCAAATGCTGAGTTTGCTGTTTCTAGATCACCTGAAAAAGACTTCTTTTGTTTTTTGAGAAAACGAGGTTCCCCATGAAGCAGAAAATCTGAATATTACATACCGCTGGGTAATAAACTGGGGGTATTTCACTATTAGAGCTGTTGTGTGCTTAGTTGTCCTTATGCTTTAAGGCTGATTCCTTTTGAAAACCTGGGATTTGTTCTTTCAATGTGCAGGTGACTGCCACCTGACAGAGTGGTCAGAGTGGAGCTCCTGTGAGCTCACCTGCATCAACGGCAGGAGCTTTGAGACAATGGGGCGCCAGTCCCGATCCAGGGCGTTTGTCGTTCAGTCTCCTGAGAACCAGGAGAGCTGCTCTGGACAAGCGATGGAAACACGGCCTTGCTCAGGTAGCGTGGTCACAGCACTGCTTCCTCCCGTTCAAGAGTTCATTTTGGTTTTGTTGCAAGGTGAAGACTAACTGGTATTGGTATTTCAGGAGGGAAGTGTTATGACTACCTGTGGAAAACCAGCCTTTGGCAAGACAACGTACGCACAGTGTGGTGTCAGCGCTCAGATGGAATAAATGTCACAGGTATATCCACAAGTTGTGATGCGCCATAATGAATGAAAGGTGTCCATCCAGGTTTTTCTTCTTCTGCATCAGTTGCTCAGAGGAAAGTTGGACATCCTTCCTTACTCCTCCAGAATTTCAGTTAGTAGGAAAGACAGATGGGAGCTTATCAGCCTTGCTTTCAGGTCAACATCACACATGTATTACATGAGTATTTGGGTGAGTTACCCCTACTGTTGGGTGGGTCACAGGAAGAAATGAGTGTACGTGTACTAAAAGGGCTGCCCGGGCTGCCTTGCACAACTGTTAGTGCAACCTTCCTGTAACTGTGGAGCACAGAAGAGAACATCACACATGTGGTAGAGAGACCAGCTTCTGTACCTCTTCTTCT